CCTAAAACCACCAAATGTTTGGTTAGCATTGAAATGACATTGAAATTGTAAACTCATATCAATATAAAAGACTCACTCCTTCCAAAAGACCGGTTCTTATTTCGGGTCCTTTAGTATCCAAAGCGATAGCCACCGGATAGTTAGGGATCCCGAGCTCCTGAGAGGCCACTTCGGCAGCCTTTCGCACGTTATCGATGGTGGCCTTGTGGTACTGTACGGGTCATCACATTAGTCAAGCCATGGAAAGGGGTGTAAGGGGTGTGTGTTGCGGACATACCTCATACTCGCCGTGCGAGAAGTTCATGCGTGCGATAACCATCCCGGCTTTGATCATCTGCACCAATGTCTCCACTTTCTGGGAGGCAGGACCTGATGGCACCGGTTAGACACGAGTTAGTCATTGGCTAATAAGAGTCAAATGCAATCAAATCAAGCGATAGTCACCGATAGTGCAGATAATTCCCGACAAACGTATGGACTGTGGCTTAGAGTCGATGTCGAGGGCACTCAAGTGATCGATCAAAGAGTCGGCTTCACTGGCCTTCAACTGGTATGGGATGTGCTCTGACGGTGACGACGGCGTGCGCTTCATCTTCAGGTAGTTTACGAGCGGTTCACTTCTGGATGACATGTCATAAGGATATGAATATTCATTAAATGAGATTTAAAAGGAAAAAATGTGCAAAAATTGTCAAATCACTTACTCTGTAATGAATGGCAAATACTATTAAATGGCAATGAATTCAATTGAATTGAAAAATGCTTTTTGGAAATAACTGTAAGATTAATGAATTAATAGCATAATTGCAGTGCATATATAGCTTTGTATATCATTAGATAGCATTGTATTATAGCTTACATTAAGTGATACGATTGTCAGCAATAATTGTCAGACAATTAACAATAGTTTGAATGAATGAATAGTTGTAATGCTTTTGATTATATAAGCGTTGAATTGAAGGACAATTGTGTCTGACTTTCACATTCACGCAATCAATGCGTGAAATGTCGCGCGATT